GAGTCCCAGTTCGTGGTTTTAAATTAAACAATTATAACACCTTCATCATAGTGTCTTCTTTTTATAATTCACATGCTTTGAAAGCAGGAGTGATATAGAGAAACAAAGTATTATTAAATATGCTCAAATACCTCTTTTTCTCTTACCAAATATCATCTATTTGACTATGGCTCCTTTATTGTTCATTCATTCACAGTGCTTTTGGGGGCTGGGGATTTAGCTCAGCGGCACAGCGCCTGCCTGGCAAGCACAAGGTCGTGAGCTCGATTCCTGGTACGGGGGGTGGTGGGGGGGAGAGAAAAAGCATTCATAGTGCTTTTCCCTTTCAAAATGCCTTCTTTAGTCAGGTAGCCACTCCCATGTGCATCTCCAACAAGCACCCCAAAGGAAGTGTTAAGGATCTTAGCCATATTACTACCTTTAGAACTTCACTCCTTGCATCCCCGTCCTGTGAGCTCCTCCTCAACTAGTAGCTCCTCTGCTCTGTACTCATTGGCAAGAATTAGAAACACATCAACTCAAATCCCCTTTCTTGTTGGTTTACTGTATTTAGTAGAATCTATTTCCTAAATATCTTTGGAACATGCATCCCTTCCCCACCACATTATATGGCCTCAGCTATATTTTGAGTTACCATCAACCTCTCCAAACAGTTCGTAAGTTTTCCCTTAGTTTTCATGTGTGCCATGCTGCCAGGGGCATACTTCTTAGTGTTTGTCTTGGCTACTTTCCTCTCATTGCTGAAGCAAAATACCCAACACCCAAAATTAAAGAGGGAAAGGTTTATTCCGCTCATAGTATGTGGAGGTTTCTGTCCATACTCGGCTGGCTTCAAGGCAGAGTGGCTCATGGCAGAGGGAAAGGGCTCATGGTGGCAGAAAACAGCAAAAGCAGCAAGAACAAAAAGGGAAGAGTGGCAGAGAGCAAGCCTCTTTCCCTCCCTTATATTGTATGCAGGCTGCCTGCCGCAGGGTGAGTGTAGCACTCACACGCATAATCCCAGCATTGGACCATGAATTAATCGCAAACTCTAGAAGCCCTCCCCTATGACTGGGTGAGGCTTTGGGGGGATGTTTAGACACCAACCTTAACAGTGTTTGTTTGTTTTATTAGGATAGCCTCTCACTATGTAGTCAAGGCTGACCTTGAACTCACTATGCAGCCTAGCTGGCCTTGAATTTGACATATATTTGTCTCAGCCTCTTGAGTGCCCGGGTTGCATTTTTTAACAGAAATGCTGCACACTGAGTTGGCACACACCCATTTCTACAGGATAATTTCCTCGGCACATCCCACAGAGGATTCCATAATCTAGATCTACCCTATGCTTCCAATCTTGGGTTGAATTCATGCCAATCTCCCTCATTTTGATAATTACGGTATTTCCTCTTCTAGTCCCACACCGCTGTACATGCACTGACGAACTCCAACTAGTCTTCTGAGATTAAGTTCAAACATTATTCTATGAAACCTTACCTACATCTCCACCATCAAAATCTGCATTGCTTACTTATAATAACACGAGAGACATACTGTTTGAAAAAACAATGGTTCAGAAATTCAAAATGAAGTTATTATTAGAATAGGAAAAGAGAAAGAAACATGACAAAATCATTCTATTTTTGACTTAGAATCACAAGATTTTATGGCTAAAAGACTTAGAGTCAATCCAGACCAAAGTTTTTTTGTGGTTTCCATATAAAAAGTAAAAGCTCTTGCCTTAAAATGAAGTTTGGGAAATGTGTGTCTAGTTGTGTAATACCTACTACATAATTTTTGTGATCCTTCTACAGCATTAAAGAAAGCGATCACTACAATATTCATCCATAAAATTTAGAATCATAGACTCTGAGCTTCATAGTTTTAATTTTGCTTATATCTCGTAGCTTGAATTTATATTTATTTTTAATTTTATTAAAGGGAGAAAAACAATCAAAGCGATGATATAGAATTTTGAGGGGCTGAGGATTTAGCTCAGCGGCAAAAGCGCCTTCCTGGCAAGCGCAAGGTCATGAGTTCAGTTCCCAGTACCGGAGAAAAACCAAAAAAAAAAAAGAATTTCAAAACAAGATAGTAGGAAATCAACAATGGTTAATATATTGCATTTTGTTATCTTCAAAGTAGTTGCTCAGATTACCAGATACAGGCATGCAAAATTGATCAAACAATATAAACGCAAACTGTTCTTTTCAATGAACTAATAGAAATTAGAAGTATAATTATCTTAGCTATCTTGTGTATATATATTTTTTCTTTTCCCTTCTTTTTTCCTTTCCCCTACCCAGTTGTTCTTTCCTTTTGAGCAGTTTCTTCCTCTTTCACAATACTGATTGTATATTTTGGATCTTGTTTACTCTTTCAGTGTCTTACACTAGGGAAACAATATGATGTCTACATAAGTGAGTCTGATTTATTTCACTTATAAATATGGTCTCTAGTTGCATCAATTTACCTATGAAAGCCTTGAGTTTGTCCTCTTTAGAGCAGAGTAGTACTCCAAAGAACTTAAACTCTCTTAAAGAAATAAAGTTTGCTGTCATTTGGTATTCAAAATTCACTGCCTGTATTAAAATTTCACTCCTAGAAATGAATAAACAAAAGTTTTCACTGCAAATTGAGACAACTGGATTTTTCAAAACTATTTTTATCAAAATCCTTCATAAAGGCAAATTATGAAAAAAGCAAGGAAATTATTGTAGTACAAGGCTGACTATGTTACATTTCAACATTAAAACTTTAAAACTAGGGAATCGGCAAGGTATTTTTGGCACATTTTATAATTTCAGTGGAAACTGTTAGCAGTCATCAGAGCCATACACAGTTCTCTTAAGTAGAAGTCTCCAAACATCTAAAACCCAATTTTTAATTTTTTTTTTTTTGTTCTGTGACAGTGTCTTGCTAGAGTCAGTGTCTTGCTAGTTCAGGCTGGCCTTGAACTTACAGCAGTCCTCCTGCTTCAGCCTCCAAAGTACTGGGACTGCAAGCGTATGCCACCACACCCAACTTAAAACTCAATTTTTAAAATGCGACTCATTTTCAGGAGTGTCAGTGTTTGAGGGCTCACATATGTAAATCATGTTTAGATTAATAACTGAACTATTTAAAGTGATAGTCGTAGTTGACAAAAGTTTCATGGAGCATGAAATTATAATTGTGTGTTTCATTTTAGCAGTCACATTTCAGAGATAGGGAAATAATGCTGTGGAACAATCTGACCCGTCTTCATTTAACCCGGAGTCACCTAGGCCCTGAGTTAGGGCTACTTTCTTTTAAGTAAAGGCCCCTTTTCCTTGGACAGCTCTCCTAAAGAGGTTTTACAGCCTTTTTTCCCCTTTCTACCTGCCTATCTCACTGCTTGAGATTGATGCTGATCGATCTGCAATACAGTGTTCTCTTGGTCCTCGTCCTTTTAGGGTGTTTCCCTGTTGAAAGTATGCACATGTTTCTCTGGGTCTCCAGTGAGGAGTTTCTGGCATGAAAAATGACTGACTTACTTGGAAAGCTGTTTTTACTTACAAATCCCCGGGCCCTATAATGTCTAAACCTCCTGTGCCACTTTATTTGACCAACTCCACCCCACAGGAGAGTATGTACAGGAAAAATGACTCCCCCCACCCACGTTTCCTCAGTTTGTTTACAAAACATCTTGGCATGAGAATGAGCTGCTTGTGGTTCCCGCGGCTGATGCTGGGATGGTTTCCTACAGGCAGAGTACTGGTCAACAGAGTGACCTCTCCATAGTTAACCCATGCACCCCTACAGGAAGGCCCTTTGTCTTTGGGGACTCCTATCTAAGCCCGAGGAATTTGTTCATGTTATAATGAACTTGGTACTAACCAAACATCTTCATGAAGGTGGGTTTAATCATGGCCAGGGCTGTCCGAGCCTAGCTCTTCTACCACCAACAAAAGAAGTTGGAAATGTGCTGGAATGTCTTTGGACTGTGTGCCTCCATCTTAGCTTCTTCAAGGAACATGACTTTTTCTTTCTGACATCCTGAAAGGTCAATACAGCTATTAGCATTACATTTGAATAGAGGCAGTGTTAGAAGAAATCATTCACAATGCCAGCCACGTGAGACACCCTTTAGTCAGCAGTTCCTATTGTCATATGTAGTCAAAGTAGATGCATGATCTCAAGAAAACATGACTCTCCCTGATGTTTGTTCACTTTACTTATGTTTGCTGAGGAACACTCCTACCTCATGCATCAATGACTCCCGGAAACCTGCGAGTGTGTGCAACAGTGATCATTAGTTCAGCCTGATTCTACAGTGTGCATTTCACTTCAATAGGTAGAAAGCGAGAATATCAAAACTAAAAATTCCCTCCCGTGAAGTACTCTAAGCATATATTTTCCATATGGAAATCCTCGTAAGAAAAGTTGCATTTTCACCAATAGATCGATCTGATCTGGGAATTATTAAACCCACGTGAGAAGAAACACTTCAGGAGAGCATGGTAATAATTTGCTCTCTAATAATTTGCTTTGGATCAAAGGGTATTGCTCCCTAATAAGCTATAGTTGAAAATAATATTCCAGAACTTATCCTTCTCATTCAGACTAAGTCCTGGTATGTGTTACTATACTCGCTGGACAAATGCGAGATACATGCTTATCATCTACTACAAAAATGAGAAACCAGACTCACTTATGTTGCCTGCAAGGTGTAAATCAGCATGAACTCACCAGTGCCCAATTTCCCAGGGTGCTCATCCCATAAGAGTAGCTTTCATATAAACTCTGTAAATTATTTGAGCCAAATAACATGTTTTACTTTTCCAAAGCATACATTTTATGAACTTCGCAAAGAAAATAATATGGGTCCTGGTGAGGGAAATACAAGACCTCAAAATATGTGAGAAAAAGTATCCCACCTCATTTACTCCTGGTTACCAAGTTGAAAGCTGAGAGAAACTTACACACTGTGCAAGCCGTCGTTTAACTTCTGTGCCTGGGACTTAATCTCCATTTTCGCCTTTCTACCTCTGTCTCCCCAGTGCATCCCAACGTCAGCCAAGGCTGCCAAGGAGGCTGTGCCACGTGTTCTGATTACAATGGGTGTCTGTCGTGCAAACCCCGACTATTTTTTGTTCTGGAAAGAATTGGCATGAAGCAGATAGGAGTGTGTCTCTCTTCATGTCCAAGTGGATATTATGGAACTCGATATCCAGATATAAATAAGTGTACAAGTAAGTGCCTACACAGCATTGTATTTTTATCTCATCCTTGGGGCCTTTTCCAGATTAACGTGGCTTCTAAAATATCTGTGATATTCAATGTTGAGTAAATCATGATGTTGATCTGATAATTAGGCTTAACTGTACCTAGACTTAGCCAGCCATCGGGGCAGGAAAATTTTCAACCACTACTGTAACTGACAAAAAATGAAGCACTTAAGATTTTTAATTTTGTTTTATTTTTTGTATTGTAAAAGCTAAAGCTGAAGACATGATTATTACTGACTGTACCCACAGAAAACTTCTGCAACCATCAGTACCATCTAAGGTCCTGTTACTATCAGCAATCCAAGTATTTAATAACTTGAAGTCATTTTAGCTGTTTGGCTCCCAGAAAGGCTCCAGGACAGCAACTGAAGCATTTATTTTATCAGTTGGAAATAAATGTTGGAAGCACTCTCCTCTGGACCCTGGATTTCTGTTCTCCACGCTGAAGATGAAATGACCTTTCGAAACTGTAAATTAGGAAATCTCGCTCCTCTGCCCAAACATCACATGTTGCTGGGCTCCTCTCTCCAACCCCCTTTGCTTCCCATCTGCCATTTTGCATGGCCTCGGGGACCTCCCTCCGACAGCTGCCCAGTGCAGACCTGACGGATGCCATGCTCAGCAGGCTCCTCTGGCAGCTGGAAGCCCTGCCCAGCCTTTGTCTGGCCGAGCCCTCTCAGGTCATTCCTGATTCTGCTCACCTCTCCTCCTCAGAGAGGCACTCCAGGACCATCTTAGCAAATTAATCACCCTCCTCCTTTGTTTTTCCAGAGCCCTCTTACTCAGGAACCAAACTGCCTGGGTTCAAAAACCATGCTGCCTTTTGTGGTTCTTGGCTAGTTACATGGGCATTTCAAGTCTTGGTCATTTATCAGTAAAATGAGAACCATAGTAAGGGCTACTTTATTGGATTCCTATAAAGTTTAAGTAACTTAAGATTGTGAATGCTTGTAATAGCTCTGCTTTCTAGTGTTTACCATATAAAGATCAACTATTGCTATTGTTTGTTAGTTTAAATTTGTGTTTTAGGCAACCTCTGTTCTCTGCTGCTATTAACTTGTACAAAAGGATGCCTGATGTTTAGTGGGTAATTGGATGACTGGTGAATGAATCGATAGTCCTAAAGAACAGCAAAAAACAGCATCTCAGTTACTTTATTAAAGTTCTACTGGGACATCAACAACATGATTTAACACAGATAGTGACTTGGTATTATAACTGTTCTTGGCTGCATACATACGGGTAAAGTATCCCTTATCTGAAGTGCCTTGAACCAGAACAGTTTTTAGTTTTGTGGATTTAGGGATATTTGCTCGATTTTATTCGTTGAACATCTCAAATCTGAACACCCTAAACCTGAAATTTCTGCAGAATAAAGTCATGCTCTAAGTGTTCCAGATTCCAGAGCATTTTCGATTTTAGATGCTTGAAAAATGGATGCTTAAATCATATTACCAAAATTCTTTCAAAAGGCAACCAGTGCAATGACTTTGAAGTCAACAACTGATGTACATCAGCTGACTGGAAGAATCCTTATTTCAGTTTAGCAAAATAACCTTGAACCCCAAGTTTGTGTCTGACACAAAAAGTTGCATTTGCATGAAAAACTGGTCCAATGATCATAGATAATGAAGGCATATCTCTTCTTTCCTTTTCTTTCAGAATGTAAAGCTGATTGTGATACCTGCTTCAACAAAAACTTCTGCACAAAGTGTAAAAGTGGATTTTACTTGCACCTTGGGAAGTGCCTTGACAGTTGCCCTGAAGGGCTGGAAGCCAATAACCACACCATGGAATGCATCAGCATTGGTGAGAAAGACTCTGAGATTTGGAGTGGGTCCGAGACACCCCAGCTGGTGTGCAGGTTCCATGCGCATACTGCTGAAGTCCAGTTTCACAAGAGCTTAGAGGATGTGTCTGAGACTCTCTCTCCATCTCTTTACAAAGATACCATCTTAGAGATGCTCCCCTGCCCAAACCCAGCATATAGCACAGTATAGCTTATTTACGTATTTATTTATTTTGTCTTTTTGAGACAGGGTCTCGCTGTGCAGTTCAGGCTGGTCTTGAGCTCACTGTGTAGCCCAGGCTGGTCTCGAACTCATAGTGATTCTCCTGCCTCAGCCTCCCGAGTGCTGGGGTTATAGTCTGTGCCACCATGCCCGGTGTGTATAGTTTAATACGTAGTGATGAGTGCTCCATTATTTCCTAGGGACTGTAGTCATTGTTTCAATTATTGCTATTACTCTAGGTTTATTCTGTAGTATTACTTAATGAAGTTCCACTTGTAACAGAGTGTGTATGTGTCTGTGTGTGTATTGAACCAAAACCTGCTCCGGGGTAAAAGTTTCACGAAACACCTAGATCTAATCTCAGCTAATAACCACAACTGTTTTCAGGAGGACAAAGGGACATGTTCTCTGGTGCAGCCCATAGCACAGCAATGTTCTGCTACACAGGTATGTGGAAGGAAGGAAGAGAGGGTTTTGGACTTACTCAAATGGACAGAATGAGACAGTCCCAGGGCCTGATTAATTGCAGGCTCAGTTTCCTGGAGTGGAGGCCCTTCAGACAGTGTCTGTCTAAATAACAGATCACTGTCAGGTTATATTTTCCCCCTTTTATGTGTTGTGCAGCTACTAGAGCACAAGGCTGATGAACACTTGGGGAGCAGATGCTATACCAAAGGGGAAAACAGCATAGGAAAACTCCAAGTCCCCTGGGCAAGAACTGCAGGAACCTTTGATGCCGCCCCGATGTTGGCGTACGCACAGAGCAGCCCTCCCTATGTGGAGCGAGACAGTCTCCAGGACTGCCCGGGGTGCCGCAGCGTGGAGCCATTAGGAGCTGAAGTGTTGGAGTGAAAACCAGAAGGTGGTGGTTTAACCATTTCCATTCCAACACAGAAATCCTATTTCTAAACGTTTTAGATAGAATGAAACAAATACATAATATCTTAAAGATGCCTTTAGAAGCAGCTGGGAAACAATCTTGAATCAATTCATGAGGATTTTAGTGAAGGCTTTTCTTGTCTGGTCAATAAAGAACACACAAAAACAACTTAGGACATGGGTAAAAGGTACACGAGAAAGCACGTTGAGTTCATCTCTTGATAGCTCCCCAGGGCTGGTGATCAGAGGTAATAAGTTCCAAACAGTGGAGGAACGTGGGAAACACTTCTGTGGAAGAGGCAAGCACAAAAATGCGGGACAAATTACTGAAAGCTTATGGGATTTCTTTATCTAGGAAAAGGATATATATTTAAAATTTCTAAGATATTGATCGTGTGCCATTCAGTTTTAAAAAGCTCTTTATACTAAACATATTCATGTTTTCCTACCATGGACAGTATTAAACACTTAGTACTTTTGGGTTAGTCTTTAAAATTTAATATTTTGGGGGGGGGTGGTTTCTGGTACCGGGAATCGAACTCATGACCTCATGCTTGCCAGGCAGGTGCTGTGCCGCTGAGCTAAATCCCCAGCCCAAAACTTTAGAGTTTTATATCAGTGAAAGTATATAAGTATATATAAAAATATATCAGTAGGACTATTTCTTAAAATAAATTGAAGTAATTTATGTATTTTAAACTCAGCACTGTCTAAAGGCCATTTAATTCATCTGGCATGTTTATTATGTACAAATGACACACTAGTAGTATGAATCAAAACTTTTTTTCAGGGCTGGCTTTTTTTCTCTCACTTTAACTGATGGCGAACCTGTGGCACGCGTACTGCAGCAGGCACACAGAGCCCTCTGTTGGCACATGAGCAAAGTCACCCTAGCATCACCCCAGCAGCCGAGCCTCGGGTAGCAGCACCCGTAGGGCAATGTTGGCACTCTGCCATAAATAAAGATTTAGGTCCCAGTTTGGGCACTTGGTCTCTAAAAGATTTGCCATCACTGATATATAAGGACGCTACCATCGTGTGGTATCCAGACTACAGGTACCACACTTACAGGGATATCACAGAATTTTCAGGAAAATGCTGTCCTGCTTCACTATACAAAGGAATGTGAAAGTTATTCCTTTAACAAAGAAGAAAACTGAGACAAAGGGAGCTATAATATCGGCCCCAAGGACATATTACAAGTTGTCACCTCCATCATTAGTACCTGAACATCAGTTCCTCACCAGCCATCCAACAGAATGTGTCTCCCTTGCTCATTTCAAAACAACTTATCTTGCTTCCTGCTTAGATTGAGAGGAAAGATCATAAACAGAGAATACTGCAGTGATATAAAGCTGAGGTGAAAGATTCATGTCACAACTGATCTACTCCCCAAGGTTTTCAGGCCAAGTTAAGCATAATAAACATCCACTGAACCTAGCTTTGTCAGAGGAAGTATTCTTTGCATTTTGTGCTTAAGATATTTACGTCCAGCCCAGCTGTCGTTCCTCTTGGAGAAGTGGACTTACTCAGGAAGTCTTCTTGGGAAGCCATCCCACTCTGATCTCTTGAGTAGAGAGGAGCACATCTTGCCATGTTTCCCATGGAAACATGCGGTAAGTCAGTAAGAATTAAAACAAAATAGAGTATGGTGTTGAAGGCCATCCCTGGTAAGACATCTAGTGCCATCTTCCTCCAAATTCCGGAACTGTAGCCACTCCTTTTTTTTCTAGACACTTGCTCCCCTAGTCGATAGCTAAAGATGTCTAGGTTTAATATTGTTAATATAAGAAATAGAAGAAATGCAGATGTTGAGTAGTTCTGCATTTTAATTATTGCATGTTGAAAAAGTAGTGCCCCAGTTCTATATTGTTCGTGAATGACCTGATATAACATACATCACCCTTTTTTGTCGTTAGGATTTTTGCAAAGACACCATTTTTTTGAAAATATTATTTCCATGATAAAATTATAGCTTTATTGTGTAGTATTTCTATCAAAAAATATCTTACAGCTTTTTTAACTATCTAGAGTTTTTATTAGTTTGAGTAATTGTGATCTTTGTGAGCTGTTCTATAGCACAGAGGCTCACAAAGGTGTTCCCAGTATCTGCAAATCTGTAACACCTGTTTGGACAATACCTGGATTTTTGACAAGAAGTCAAACTCTAGGGTTGCGTCTAGCACTCTAGCATTACTGCCTCCAATGGAATTATGTACAATCATCATTAGAATTTCATTTTTAGAAAAGAAAGAATTTTGTTTTTAGAACCACTTCAGACTGTAGAGCAATAATATCTATATCCTAATTTTTTTAGATCTAATTTTCTGAAGTCTAAAGTCTACATTGGCCTTTACCGCCTTTACTGCCAATATTCTGATCACTTTCACATTAGAGAAGCATTTTCTAATTAAGCCCTCTTGATTACAGTACTAAATTAATGAAGAAAGTAATAATGAAGAAATAATAATGAAGAAAGTCAAATAATAATGAAGAAAGTCAAAACTCACAAACTTTCATTTGCATTTTTTCCTCGCAGGTGTTTTTGTCTGTGTGTTAAAGTCAAACTACTTTTTCATGGCGAATTCTGAGATGGGATATGGGACATTATGTTCTCAACTGGCACAACATCATAATATTGTTAAAAGATATAGTTGATTTATGCTTTAACCAAAGTTATAAAGGCATAATTGAAATGAAAAATACTTTGAAAGTTGTCCAATGAAACTGATTTAAGTTCACAGAAATTTGAATTCATTCAGTTAATCACTTTATTTTGTCCTGTGTTGTGCTAACTTACCTGAGAGTGACTGAAATGTGTGAGAAATGGATTTAACTTTCCAAAACATTTAGTTTTATGTTTCTTGAGGCTGTCACCAGAGACAGCATTCTGCTATAAAACAAGGATTCATTAAACCAGAAATCAGCAGAAGGGGTGCTGAAAACTTGTTTTTGTGAAAAGAAGAGTCAGGTAGTTCTCTGGAGGAATTACTGTTGGAAGCTGTTCCAACTGTTTCACGTTAGGACATTTTATAGTTATAAACATAAAGGTAGCACCTTCAGATGTTTCTTTTCTTTAGAAGTGGAAAAATCTGTTCAAAAACCTGGGAAATCCATTACTGTAAAGATTACTACAAACCAAAGAGGGAAACAGATCTCCAAAAAGAAGCTTCAGAAAGGGTTCACCGTTCCTCTTGGGGCCCAGTGAGTTGCATTAATTCTATAAGCAGATTACCAGCTGAAATTGACCCAGAAGGAACTTAAAATAGTGCTACTATACCTGAACCATGTCCAGTAATACACATAATTTAAAGAGTTTAAGAGCACAGGAAGTAGGAAAAACAGTGGACATAGGCCAAAGATCTGGATTCCCTTTCTGCCCAGCCGTTCTCTGGCACAGAGGCTCACAAAGGTGTTCCTGGTATCTGCAAATCTGCAACACCTGTGTGGACAATACCTGGATTTTTGACAAGAGGTGAAACTCTAGGGTTGCGTCTAGCACTCTTGTGTTTCATCAGTCCTACCAGGTACTATGATGCAGGCTGAAGTTCGAAAATCAGTTCCCTAGCAAATAATTACAACTTCTCTTAAGTACTGAGTGAGGATCAATCAATAATTGCAGCAATGCTCTGGAAATCATAAAGCATCGTATCTCTAGTAGTGGCAGGGTTAAATGTAGAATAAAAAGTAAACCCAGGAATATGTTTACCTGACAGTACACGGAGGGAAACACTTGAAAAAATTCCTAAGTCTGCCTCTCCCACTCTCCCTGTTTTTCTTTGAGTCATCTTGCTCAGCATTTCTCTCAAGGACTCCTCCTGAGGACGTGGGCTGCCGATGGCAGCAAGCCTTTGCTCTTACGCAGCGTGACGGTGTCTGTGAGCCCGCTAAGCCCCTGCCTGCTGTTCTCTTGCAGTGCACTGCGAGGCCGGTGAATGGAGTCCTTGGAGTCCATGCACGAAGAAGGGAAAGACGTGTGGCTTCAAAAGAGGAACTGAAACTCGTGTCCGAGAAATAATTCAGCACCCTTCAGCAAAGGGGAACGTGTGCCCGCCTACAACTGAGACAAGAAAGTGTACAGTGCAGAGAAAGAAGTGTCCGAAGGGAGAACGAGGTACAATCACTTTCACAAAATCTGCTTGTTTGAGTCCTCATAAATTGATGCATCACTCACTTTTTTCCCTGAGGCAGCAGTCTGACCATATTATTCATGTCTAAAACCCTGAAAAGCATACGGAATGAAAGGCACGTTGGTGCCAAACTGTAGAATGTAGATATAACTTTTCAGAATGGAGTCCACCATTAGAAGTTTACTATCAAAGTGTACTACTTGAATTTTGAAGCTTCAGGATATATTTCAAGCATTGAGGCCACGGTCTTTCCTGTGATTCACCTCTAGTTTATGGAAAACTTTAGGGAAACCCTGTAACATAAGATCTGGTGTCACTTGGTACAAGATCATAGCAAAACCACATCATCAACTTATTCCTTGTCACCTATAAATCAAAGTGGCACAATTAGGTTTAAATTGTATTAGTTTTATATATATATACATATTTGTTTATGTAAAACTGACCTTGCATTTGAACTAAATGGCCAAGTCCATATTTCATAAGGATAATATAACCATTAATGATACCCTATCCCCAGGATTTTAGTCATTTTGTATATTGCATTAATTTTATATATTAGACTACAGAACCTATTACATCAGTATTAACCATGTCAGTATTTGTTCTAAAATCTTACGAGTGCCAAGGGAAAGTATAGTGAACCCGATGTGTGATTAAATATGATGTTCCATTTGGAAGAACCACAGGTTGTTGACCTTTGAAACAACACTTTTCCATCTTTAAAATTTATGTCCCTAGCACCCCTGAATACTAATATATTGTGTAGATTTAAGTAACTATTGGTGTAGGTATTTAGTGGGCCTGTAAATGATCCCTTTAATTATTTAATTGCCTTTAAAAGTATCAGCAGCCTGTGAAGTGGACCCTATTCACGTACTTCACGCATTCACACGGCAGTCTTAGTAAGTTCTTTCCTTATGGTTACACACAGTGCTAAGCCACAAGGATTCACAGCTAAGTAGAGTACTGTTATTAGAGGGCGCTTACAGGTATATTCAGAGCCCAGGGAAGGACTGAGATGTGTGAGCGATGATGACAACATCATATTCTAAAAGAGCTTCTGGGTATTTATGAATTCTGTTTAATGGGAACACAATAGAGGATTCTTTGCAAAGGTAAAAACCGCTTGTATAAAACAGAATTTGGGGGACTCACGCTTTGCAAAGTACTTTTCATGATATCAATCGGCTATCGTCAGAATGTAGCCTTCTGTTGCCTTAACAATGAAGTAGTGTGATAAAATTGATGAAGACGGGGTATTTGAAAGAGAACTTCAAACTTTTGTACAGTTGTAAGAGGTTTTGATTAAAACTTAATTTCAGGAATAAAAGTTGGCTAGTGAGAAAGATCCTTCTGACATTTGTTACCAATTAATTTAAAACATCTTAGATTTCAAAAGTTGGATTTGGAAGTCAAATATTTCATCACTCTGCCTGTTGGTATGCTCCCATAGCCCTACATTTACTTATGTTTACTAAATTTTCTTAAAATTTAATGACTTACAGGTGGTCTTGGTTGATATTTTTCCACCAGGGTTCTACAGCCCTAATCAGTATTCAGTATATTGTGCTTTTAAAATTTAAGTAACAAAAGGTTTAGCCAGTACAGAAATTAAATTTTGATACTAATTCCATGTTATTTATTTCATTTGAGAATGTGGTCTTTTATTTTGCTAGCACTTCACTTAGACATTAACATTGAAAATGTCAGTTTTTAAATCTAGCAACTGATAAGATAAATAATGCCACAGATATTTGAAATAGGAAAACTTGACAAAAGACTGGGCTTCAGAGTTTCTGTGTGATCTTTTCCTTTCCCCCTGAGGATGCAATAGCATTTTTACACTTATAAAAAGAACTTTATACAATTAGAAAAATGTAAGTGTTTAATTCATAAGTCTGACAACACATAGACTGTCAAATAGGAAATGGAAATCACTTATAAATAAATTCCAGACCTAGTTCCATCTTTATATATTTCTCATCTTTAATGCATTCGTTTAGTTTTTTTCAAATAGCTTAGAAAATTAAGGTAGGAAGAAAACTGTTTCTCTTTTCATTCATTACTTCTCTGCTTAGAGAAAAGATTATTCTTAAAGATTCTTATCATGTCCTTATATCAACCCAAAGCAGTAAAAAACATTAGTAGTTATGATTTTGAGAATCTTACTGTATCAACGACATTAAGCATCACATCAAACAACATTTTCCACATTTTCATTTAGTTTCTAATATAAATATATTTTTATCTACAGCTATGAATATATGCATCTTAAAATTTAGTCATTGTCTTAA